GTGGTCGCATCTATTCGCGGACGCCCCTCGTACGAGTCCGACACGTACATGTCTGCCTCGCCACTGGTGACGGTCAAAACGAGCTCCACGTCCGTGTAGTCAGCCCCGCCCACGCGCACGGCGAAGTAGGCCATGGCCCCGTTGTGGGCCCGCCCGGGGGTCTGCAGGCCAGGCAGGAGGCGGGGAATGCTGCCCGCCGCGTCCGTGGACACGAGCAAGGAGAGGGAAGCGAGAGAGTCGGCGGCCACGGCCAGGGTCAGGTTGCTCCCGGCATCACAGCCCTTGTTGGTGCCCAAGGCGGTGTCGATCACGAGGCTTTGCCCGGACAGCGTGGCCGTTCCCTCCAGCTCCCAATCGTGCACAGTGGCGTTGGGCCGGCTGGAGCGACACGAGGCGTAGAGCCGCGGGGCGGGACCGGACTGGGGCGAGACCGAGACGCGGAGGCTCCCCACGTCCGCCGCCCCCGGCCACGGCACTGTCAAACGCTGCGCCAGCGTGGGCCGCAGGGTCAAGGATATGGGCTGGTCCAGCTGCAGGCGGATCGGCTCCGTGAAGGCCGAGAGCAGCAAGGAAAAGGAGGCCTCGCGAAAGCCATACACCCCAATCCGGACCTGACACCGCCCTTCGGGACACCACCGCTGGAACCGCGGGTCGTGCGGGCCCAGGACGATGCGGTCGACCGCCGCGCCCCAGTCCGAGCTCTGGTACTGGTAGTGCTCGCCGCTGGGCCGCTCTCCGTCCAGGGTCACGTACATGTCGGGGTCCCCCAACAGCGGGTGCAGCAACACCTCCAGATCCACCGCCGGCGTCGCGCCTGTGCTCGCGTCCACTCCCTGCCCCCCCCCGTCGCCGGCCAAGGCCTTGGGCGACAGGTCGAAGCTGTACTGCCGGAAAGTCCCCGCCGTCACCGCGTCGCTCTGAGGCCTGCCCAAGGCCAGCGGCACGGGCTCCGAGTTGTTCCAGCGAGCCAGGAGCGAGAAGCCCCCCCCCAGGTACCCAAAGACCCCGACGCGGTAGACACAGGCCGCAGGCGCTTGCCCCGGATGCGCCGGCGGCTGGTGCTGGCAGTTCTTAGGATCCTCGTCCACGATCACCAGGGAATCAGCCCCCAAGTGGGAGGAGGCCCACTCGTATCGCTCGCGGGTGGGAAGAGCCAGGTCCGAGCCCAAGGAGACGTACAAGTCCACGTCCCCGCCTAGGGGGGTCGCCGTCAGGACCAGATCTTGCCCCGAGCGCCCTGAGCCGACGACTTCATAGTACCGGTAGGACTGCCAATCGACAACGTGGGAAGGGAAAGGACGTTAGAGATGAGGAGAAGGAGGGCAAGAGGCAGGGATAACGGACGATGGGGAAGGATGGGGGTGTAAGGGGCACTCTCAGTGGCGACGACCCGACGTAGGAATAAGCAAGCAGAGATTGTTTGGGGCCATGCTTGAGGAAGGATATCAAGTATGTCGTTACGTGACCAGAACGCGAGTGGTACTTAATCATCATCACCAAGCGGAATAATCCCTGACGCTTCATTCCGAAAGCTCTCTCGTCCGTCTCTCGCTTCTCAACCCCGTTCCAACCAACTCACATTCGATGCTAGCTGGCCTTCAACCACATGGTTTGGAGGAAGAAGTGTGACGGGGGCATCCGCAGCGCTACACCAATGCAGGCAATAGCACAGTGCTACTAGTAGCAGCCATTTTCCTGCGGTTCCTGCGCCAGAACGTGAGAAGACCAATCCGCCGACTATGGGCCGTAGCCTTTTCTCTGTAGCATGTATGAGCTGTGGGCGTGGCCCAATATTCCACGTTTGCGGCGGCATTTTAATTTTTCCTGTGCCTGCGGTCCAGATGTGTGGGCCACCCCACTTGAAGATCTCAAGGCCCTGACCAAGCGAAAAGATACTGAAACCGTAATGATGACCGCTCTTCCGTTCAAGCGGGTATACACACCCTGGCCCTGTGGTACAATGATCCGGTTGTGTAGCCATCGATTATTTTATGTGAAAGAGACATCGTGCACGTGCAAAGACTAGAAAAGAACACGCTTGCGGCTTTTCTTCTTTTTCCGATGGGGACGGGTACGAGGAGGTAAGGCAAGTTACACGAGAGCACAGGACATAGCCCCAAATTTCCAACACACGACCTCCTAATACAACAAAAAATGACAAACGCTCACTCATCGTTATGGATAGCCTCTTATCTTCAGTCCAAGCGTGTCATTGAAGGGCCCCGATGCTTTCTCCTCCTCGCGGGTTTTCTAAGTGGCAGATCGGATCGTCAAGGCCAGATCCATGCTCAGTCAGGACGTGTCCGACTACCTGCCAGCACGGGCTGTAACTCGTCGCAATTACTCTTCTCAGGGCTTACCGTTCCATGCGATTGTCACCACACAACAGGCTAGCGCGCTTCTCTACGCTCATCTTGTCCTCATTTTGGTCCAAGCAAACCAAGTTCACGCAGACACGAAATCGCTTCCTCCACGCACGCGATGAGCCCCACTTTCAGGACTGTCTAAATGATCGTAAGAAGATGCGGTCGGCAACGACACATGCCGATTAGGGCACTACTCCATCCAAATGGTGCCACCAGGGTTGCCACTTTCCTTAGTATTGTATGCGTCTTTGCCTCGCTCTCTGTACAGTATGCCCTCCGCCTCCATCCCAGTACTCCAATGACTTGTCGCAAAAGCAGCTCGATATCTGTTGTCTCTCTGAGCGATAGAAGAAAGTGCGGCGATATTTGCAAGCATTACGCTGTCTCAAGCCTAACTGCAGGTAGCGGTAGCGAAGATGACTCTCCTACGATGCGCAGGCGGCCTCCACCTCCGTGGCCTCGCCCAAGCCCTTCTGCGACCTCTGCTTACACCGTGGCTGAGGTGAAGGCCTTGGGAGAGCGGATACGGAAAGGGATTGATCTGAACAATGCTTTCAAAGATCTCCGGAACTGGCGCATGGCTGATGAAGGGCGTACTCCGGTGCCCGACGCGATGTACCGCGCCATCCTAGAGCACTGTCGACATCCCCGCCCTCCACGAGCCTATGCTTCCAAAATGCTTGGCTTGGCGGGGAACGTGGTGCAATCATACTTTCTGGATGTGGTGGCGTCGTCATCCGCACCCTCAGCCTTGCCTGTGAAAGAGTTTCGCGAAGTCTTGCAAGCCATGTCGCGCGCTCGAGACGCCGAGGGGGCTGTGGCCCTCCTTCGCCTCCTCACACTCCAGTGCCAGGAGAACGGGGGAAAAGCGGGTCCCGCATCATCGTATCTGGATGAGTACCTCTTTTTCCTGGTAGTGAAGTGCTGTTGCGCGGACGCAGAGGAGGGGTCGAAGAGAGCGAGAAGCACGCCGGCATTGGCCGCCGTGGCGCCCTTGATGGCTGAGATGGACCGTCTGCGCATTCCCAAGTCCAGCTTTTTGTACAGCGCTGCCTTGAAAGGCTTCGGGCGCATGCAGTGGAGGGAGCGCGTGGAGGCGCTGGCGGAGGAGATGATGGACCGGCGGGAGGAGGTGGCTCTTGATACAGTCGCGCTCAACTCCCTCTTGGATGCTCTGACCCGCGTGGGCGACTTAGACCGAGCCCGGGGCATCCTACGGGATATGGCCCAAGCCTCATATGTTTCCACGTCCTACTTAAGGCGGGGGGTTGCTGAGTATCGTCCAGTCAGACGCGGCGAAAGCGGTAGCCCCTCAAGAAGCACAGCCCCCCCCCCTTCCCGGGTCGGGGGCTCGACAGGCTTGCCTCTGCCCGACCAGTACAGCTACAACACCGTGCTCCGAGCCTTGGGGGAAGAGGACTTGGGCGCCGCCATCGCCCTGTATCGAGAGATGCGGGACGCGGGAGTGCAGCCCGACAGGGTCACCGTGAACACGCTGGTCGCCGCCTGCGCCGCCCACGGGCGCCTGGACCGGGGGCTCCTAATCTTGGAGAGCAGCGCTGTGCCAGCCTCGGTGGAGGGGTACACGGCCTTGATTTCGGCTCTGGCGGGAAAAGGAGAGCTGGAAAAGGCCCGGGACGTGCTGGAATCGATGCGGGCGGCGGGCGTGGCCCCGAATGCTCGGACCTATACGGCTTTGCTGCAAGGCGCGGCGCGGGCCGGAGACATGGCGGGCGTGTGGGCGGCAGTGGGGCGGATGCAGGAGGAGGGGAAACGAGACCCGCGCCTGAGGCCGACGGTCTGGACGTACAACGCGGTGATGGCAGCCTTGGCGAGGGCAGGCCGGGTGGAGGGCATGCTGGCCTTGCGGGAGGAGATGGCGGGGAAGAGGGGGAAGGCCGGGGTGGCCCCAGACATCGTCACCTGCAACACGCTCCTGGCCGCCCTCCTTCTCGCCACGGACCCCCCCCGCCTCCGACAGGCAGAGGACTTGTTCATGGAGATGCTGGAAGGCGGCCCCTTCCCTGACTGCTACACCTTCTCCATGCTCCTCCGCGCTTACTCCCCCTCCCTTCCATCCCGACCCCCGCCTCCTCGCTCCCCGGTGGACCTCCTACAGCGCCTCCCGAATGCCCTACTCCAACCTAAGGGGGATCAGGGGGAGGATGGGCTGGAACGCGCAGCAGCTGCCGTGGACGCCGCCGTGGCCGATGCCGGCGACGACCCTGCTTCCTGCCCCCCTCGCGGAATTTTGCCGGGGCCCGACCGACTGCTGGAGCTGATGGCTTCGCGCCATGATTTGGGGCTGCTGTTGGACACGACGGCCGTAAACAGCCTCCTCCTGGCCCTGGTCAAGGCGGGAGCGCTGAAGCGGGCCCTGGAGGTCTTCCAAGCCTTCAAGCGCGGGAGCCTGTCGGCGCTGGTGCCCATCCCCCCGGAAAGGTTCGCCTCTCCCGAAGAAGGTCGGCCAGGCATTCCGGACGTTATCACCTACACCATCCTGGTGAAGGGGGTGGCGGGCTCGGATAACGTGTACGCTGGGTCCAAAATTATGCAGCTCTACCGAGAGATGCGTGGGGAGTTCCAGATCCTCCCCGACCTGCAGCTCGCCTACGCTTTGGTAAATTCCTTCGCATTGGCTCGCTCCCGTGTAGGGGGTTTGGGTGTGGAGGATCTGGACGAGGTCCTGGGAGACCTGCGGGAACTCGGTTGGAAGGGCGAAGTTCTGTCTCGGCTGGAAAAGCGTGTCTCGAGCTACAGGGGTCTGTATTCCGAGGCTTGGAAGGAGGGCCGAGGAGGCTGGGAGGATTCCAGGGGCGGCCGAGATAGAAGGCCCAAGGCGTCGGACCGACTCTTCGATAAGTACGGGTGGAATAAGTTCGACAGCGGTTACAATTTCTTCGCGTGAAACTTAGGGAACGCGAATTGGTTAGTATGGATGAGAGGGGCACATTCGCGGTCTTACGATTTCTGTGATCAGAATGAATACCACGTGTGCAAAAAAGGGAGAAGACCGGTGAATGATTTAGTCTTGTGAACACTTTAGATGCGGGAAGAAGCGGCAACTTGTGTATTATGAAACAATTGGCGGCCGATTAGGTAACATAGCTTACGCGGCAGCACCAGTTCTTGCAGTGGCACTAGAAGCACTGCATTCGCTATAACAGCAACTGTCATCTAGATAAATTAAAGGAAGATATGCAGATAGGGTCCAGATGCTTTTCGTTGAAACGTTCTTTTTCAACCCCGGTCCCGGAACGTACGGTTCTCGTAGAAGTCACCCCCAGCATGACGACCACTGCCATGAGTCTGGTCTATCCGAACTGCCAGCATGCTTGAAGGTACTGGTGTCAGGCTTTATTGATTGCATCCGAACAATGGTATCGCCGCCAAGCCCCGTGCAGTGTCTCAGAGCGCGGGCCTGGAATCGCACGGAGCGTAAGTGGGAAAGCGCTGACGAAACAAGCATCACATCGTCGGAGCACACACTTAGGCCATTATATGCGTAGGGGCCGGTTGATGGGCAATGACTGGGCTGTATCTGGCCCGGCCTGGCACGTTGCTTGAAGTAAGCGTGGCCTTGATTGGTATGGTTCCCTATATTTCACGACACGCAGGCTTTTTGGACGGTAGCTTGTAGCCGATGGATGTCGCCCGATAATTGGAGGTCATCTCTCGCACAGCTCATGCAGCCCCTCACACATACAGCACACCATGTCCAGTGCGACCCCTGCTTACCGCAGTAGAGCTTTGGAAGAGGAAATGGACAAGTTCAGGTCCATGATTCAAAACTTCGCCTCTCCCGTGCCCACCGACTACATTCACACCCTCCCCCCCGACTTTGTGCAGTACGCCGCCTCGGTTCGGGCCGCATCCGGCAGTGATGCCGGAAAGAGCAGGCCGCGCCTATCATTGGTGGATGTTGCACGCAGCATGGCGACCACACAGGCCTTTGGGCGGCCGATGGAGGGCTTCTCCGAAGACCAAGTGCGGAGAGCCTTCAGTTTGGGGGACTGGGAGGGCGGCTCGTCTAGCCCCTCCCTTCGGAACACGGCCAAGGTGCCAGAGCCCATCTACCGCGAAATACGTCCAATACATATCCGAGACGGTAGCGTCCTGTCCACCGACCAAGGGAAAGGGACGGAAGAAAAAGCTGCCGGCAAGAAGACAGTGGAGGCGGCTCCTGCAGTCCCTAAACTTATGGCAGTCCAAGGGTCCGTCCCTCCCACAGCGAAACGGCCCAAACTAAAAGCAGGCTTTCTAAAGCCAGCCGACTCTTCAACAGCCTTACCTGAAGCCCCGTCCTCAGCTGAATCCGCGCCTGTCCTAGCCCCTCCGGCGTCGCAACCGCCTGCCCCGGCACCGTCCCCACTAGTCCTGCCACCTGTCCCTAAGGTGGATGTATCCAAGCTGACGGGCCAGCGCCGTGTCTCGGACCTGACGCAGCCGGAAGTCTTGACGGTAAGAGGCGGGCTTACCGGGGACGG